TTATTCTCTATTACAGAATTCATAATTCTTTATATTTTTCAGATGTTGGCTGCATAATTATTTTTATAATGCAATATTTTATTAAAATAATTATGATACAGAATCTCAATTTCATACTATTTATCTCTCTAATTTTAATTTTTGATCTCTGTATATTAGTCTTTTTTAATTGATTTCCTTTTTTGGAGATTTGCTATTCTTATTATATCTCCATCAAACAAAGATGTAAATTTACATTGTAATATTACAGTGTATGCTCTGGAGCTGGTATTTAGCGGACGATACACAGTTTTATATTGTGGGTGGAGTGATTTTGATACTGGCTACGAATCACTTCAAAATCGCAGCTTCCGCATTAGTCGGTTTGTTAATAAGTTCATGGATAACTACCGGCTATATAGCTTTAATTAATAATCATATGCCGAGTATGGATGATCCGTTAGCCCTCTTCGACAAAATCTACGATAAACCGTGGACGAGATTAGGTCCTTATCTGATCGGCATGAGCGTCGGCTACTTTCTCTTTAAGACTGATTGTAAAGTGAAAATGTCTAAGGTATGACGTTTCTGAGAGAAAATTAATTCAACGAACGTATCTAAAACAATTTAAAAACTGTGAAAAATTGTGATATTTTTTAGATCTTTATGACACTTGTATTGCCTAAACATTTTTCTTTGATGCAAAATTATAAACTTAGTTTCTATTACTTAGAAAAGATTTTAGACGTTATTCATTTCTAGACTACCGTCGTTGTTGGATGGCTCTTGTCTTCTGCGTGTCTCTTGAGTTTGCTTTATGGTCTATATGAGGCAGAACTTACACCAGTCACTGGAGCTGCGTATTCATCCTTGAGTCATAGTGCGTGGGCGCTAGGTTTAGCGTGGATCGTAATAGCATGTAGTACTGGCTACGGCGGTGAGAAATAAATACATATTTGTTGATCAATCATCGGATTAATTGTAATAAATACTAGACTGATCAATTTGTGTGAACTACTGAGATATTAAATCGATACTGTTTCAGGATACGTAAATAAGATTCTATCGTGGCCGCTCTTATATCCGTTCAGCAGAGTGACTTACTGCTCCTATCTAGTTCATCCGCTTGTGATTCGTCTAACCGCTATGAATCTAGACTCTCCGTTTCACTTAGGAAAGGATATAATGGTAAGTTTGCAGCTACGAAGAAAATTTTATGATTAATGATTAACAGCGGATTGTCATAAAACACTTTATTTTTCAGATGATAACATTTCTGGGACAGCTATCGCTATCGTACGCATTGTCGTTTATAGTATCAATCGCTTTTGAAGCACCGGTGGTCAGTATGCTGAAAATTGTCTCACCGAAAAAGCGGAAACGTATACAATAGAGATTAAAGTATATTTAATACATGTCATACACTCTCGTACAATTATTTATACGATCTTATTTACACATTATGTATAGATTTCATAAAGATCTGTGAAGAACATTGATAAAATGTCGCGAACATTATTATACATATACATATGTATTTTAATACCATTTATTTGATTTGTTTCAAATATGTAAGAAATATGTAGATTTTTTGTGTATTGCTAGATGTAAAATAAATTATTTCTCTTTGTATATAAATTCCAATATGAATAATATTTCATTAATGAAGAAAAACGCTTTGGAAAAAAGAGTAAATATATATATACACTTCAATAATGTCGACTTATTTGAACTAAATGCAAAAACAATTGAATATATAAAAAGAGTACTATCTTTATTAAATAATATCTTTTTTATGAATAAAATGAAAAATAAATACTTATTTATGTTTCTTACTTGCTTACGTTATCATCCTATGCATAACATAATCTTTAATATTAATATTACATATTAATGTGAAAAATTATTATCTCTTACAAAGCACCCTCTATCGCAACTTCTGTATTAACATCAACAAAATATGGCCCTTCGTTAACAAATCGCTTGAATTTCTGCATAGTGTCCGCATCGAATATATTTCGCTCCGCTTGAGATAAACATTTCACAACTTCATATTTTGCATCCTTACACTCTTTAAACGATTCAATATTTCTATCTAATAGGAACTCTACCAAACCAGGATACGTGGATATGTATTCTTGTCCCCATACTTGAGAACTAACAACCATCAGCACCTCCAATCCAGCCTGTCTGATATCAGCAAATGGTTGTCTGCATATCGCTACAATCATTCCCAATGGATCGTCGCACAGCGAATCAAACCACAGTTTTGTTAGGGACAAAATTCTGTTGTCCTGCTCGACTCTCTTGACCTCGAGTATAAGGGCAAGATTGTTCAAACCACGAATTCTCAAAGCAGTCGGCATTCTCTGTACTATCTCAGCGATTTTCTTAAGAGCACTCGGCATTGCTTCTCCTAAAGCTTGCAACGCATACTTCCCTTCAATGCTCACAGACACGTATCCCAGAGTATCTAATGCGGGGCCCAAGATATTCTGATCTCCACTGTCTATTACATCGAAAAGCGCGGAGATTATCACGGGATATCTGGCAAACAACTCGTTGGGCCAGTGACGAGCAACATTACCGAAAAACTTCATCAATCCGGGAATCAAAAGATTTGACAAAGGGTTCTCGTTAACTTGTGATATTTTTTGGACTAACTTGCTCAACACCTCTTGTTGCTCCAAATAACTTAGACCTTCTTCGAATACAGCTAATTGAGTTAATATTTCCAAGGCATTCAATTGAAGCAGTATATCTTCGTTTTCTAGTATATTGATTAAACTGTTCAGAAAGCCTGACTGAGCTGATACTTCCAAAGCCTCTTGAGATGTCTTGGCTATGTCCACAATCACTTCATAAACACGAAAGCTAATGGTATCATTCTGCAGTAGCCTGGCAAATGTTCTCAGGAGCTCGCCCTTATACAAAATATGTAGGCCATTTGGATTTTCTCCAATTTTTTTCACTATGCTCATCGCACATTCGGCGACATTCAAGTCGTTATCACTGATTCTGTTTATAATTGAAATCAGAAGAGTGGTGTCTGAGAGTAACTGAAATATCTTTTGTGGATGCAAAGCTGTGCGCGAAAACTCACGTAGCACAAGTAATCTCACACTAGCATTTGGATTAGTTATTAAAGCAGATACTTCGATTAAATATCTCTGATAAATTTCCCCGGGTTCCAGCATGCTGAACAAAATGGTCAGAATATCGCATATTTGCTCTATGACTTCTCTGCAAAAAAAAAAGTAGAATTCTTTTTGTTCTTAGTAGCAAACTTCAGAATTATATTATATAATTAATATAAGACTTATAATAAGAGGCAAAAAATTTAGGATAACTCTGGTAAGTATATACGCCGCACCTATGAAAAACTTGATTTATTAAGTATTATTTAATATGTTTAAAATAAACGAACTATATCAGTAAAAACTTTGTACTGTCTACTACTATGAAAAAAATATTAGAAATTCAAAATATTTAGTTTTCGTATTAAAAAATAAACTTTTTGAAATCTTGCATTTTTGCTATATATAGATAATGGGTGGGATATATGGCAAAAATTTCAAGGGTTTCAACAAATTAAACAAAGAATACGAAAGCAAAGTACTTGTATTTTACTATACAACATGCTTTACTATTCCTCTACACGTATATATCACGAAATAACCACTAGGTTTTTTACACGCCTTACAGTAATCATTTTATGTAGATTATAATCTATGATGATGCTACTTGTTACACATACAGTGACAAATCGATTTAACTCACAATAATTTCATTAATATTAACAGTAAGAAGCTGAAATTGTAACTCAATACTAATATAATATAAAGGCATATAACAGAGTAGTTGCGAGAAAATTACCCTCACTCCTTCTATTTTTTCTAACTTCCGCGACGTAAATTCCAGCGCGGCGTATATACCGGAGTGTTATCCTAGTATCATATTCTAAGAGAAAAAATAGTTACAAATAAATAGTTTAAATAATTATAAAATAAAAAGATTTAAATGTTATATAAAAGACAGTTGTTTACACATACAATGTGACAATCAAGGAATTGCTGAAACTAAATGACTTAATATAATAAACAGAATGAAATAAATGTAATGATACTTTGCCAAAGAAACCCATTATTTTATCACAGTCTAAACAGAGATTATTCATCTATGAATTCGTGTGTCCAACGTCTACAGATATATATATATATATATAT